CTTGAACGACGGTCAGCTGTGTGGGAGTCCAGCGCCTTAACCACCACCTTCCCTGCCAGCCCCCATTGTTTAAGTTCTAAGAAAGTTACACAGCAAAGAACAGTGAAATTAAAATTAAGTGGTTAGGAGAAAAGGTTGTTAGATGTTATTTTTCCCCCAAAGTCCATCCATTCACTCTTCTGTGAAAGAGGCAGAGAGAGACGGGCACTTTCAACAGGACTCCCACACTGTGATCCACCCCCTAGTTCTAGTGAGCCTGGGTTGTAGGTATGCATGTGCCTGGTGTGCTCAGGGAAAACCCTGGATGCAAACTGAGGAAACTTTCCCATGCAAGTCCAGTTGTACCGTTGCACTAACACCTGGTCTCCAGAAAGTCTTTTTTTTTTTTTTTTTTTTTGAGAGAGAGAGAGAGAGATTTTTGCCTTAGGGCACATTTGCTTACTAGAGAGAGAGAGAGAGACATACACAGTAAGAGAGAAAGTGAGAAATCACCCCGCTGGGAGGATGGCCACACTGCAATCCCTTCTTCATTCTCCTGGGATCTTGGGCGTGCAGGCACATGTGCCTGGCATGATTTTCAAGCCACCTAGTCTGGAACTTAACCACGGTCAGCCATGTGGGAGTCCCGTAACGTAACCACTATGCCATCTGCCCCAGAATGTCATATTTTTTAGTGCAACTAGACTGAAAAATACAAAGGCCTGTGTTTTGTGATGTTTGGTCCAAAGGATGTCTGCATAGACTTGGTTTCTTTTTTTTTATTTAAAGTTATCTCCTCCATGAAAGAAAAAAAGTTACTTCCAACAGGGTCCTCATGCCATCCACCCCCCATTCTTATCCAGCCAGGATCATGGGTTCAGGATCATGCGTGCGTGCTTGTTATGTACAAGGATATCTCAGGGTACGAACCTGGTCCCTCCCACGTGGCCTTGGCACCACAGAGTATTGCGATATTACTGTGCCACCACTGCTGATCAGATATTTATATATTTTTAGTTCTATTCTTGGTTAGTATTGTATATAGAGACAGGCCTGACTTAGGATGAATGTGAAAGTAATATGCACTTAGTAGAAACTACTTCGAATTTTGATGTTTGATATTTTCCTGAAGTAGCAATGTGCGGTACACAATACTCGCAGTACTGATCTGTGGCAGTAGCAAGTTACTCTTTTTTACTTTCAGTGTAGTATTCCATAAATTACCTGCAATATTCAACACTTAGAAGCTTTGTGTTAAATGATTTCATCCAGCCATAGGCTACCGTTAACATTTTCCGAACATGTGGGTTAGGGGAATTAAATGCATTTGCAGCACATGATATTTTCAACTTAAGATGACTTTATTGGGACATAGCCCTATCATAAGTCAAGGGGTAGCTGATAAATTAATTATGAAGAGATTTTTTTAAAGCTTTTTGCTATAGGGCACATGCACTCGCTCGAGAAGACAGTGAGAAGGAAAGTGAGAGGGGAACGTAAGAAATCGCCCCTCAGGAGGAATGGCCCATAGTACCTTTCCATCCTCTTCCCAGAAGTTTTTGGGCATGTATCCACATGTGCCTATTGTGGTTTTTTTTTTTTTTTTGGAGAGGTTTTAGCTTTAGGGTGCAGGCAGTTGTTAGAGAAAAACAGACACAGTGAGAGGGAAAATGAGAAATCACCCTCATGAGGGATGGCTACGCCGCAGTCCCTTCTCTCCTCTATTCTCGCAGGATTGGGCATGCACACACATGCACCCAGCATGATTTTGAAGCCACTAGGTTCAGGACTTGAACTGTATTTAGCCATGTTGGAGTTCAGTGACATAACTGCTACACCATCAGCTGGCCCTAAATATGAGAAAATTTAAGTTGATCTCTTAAATCTTTTTTTTTTCCTTTCCTACTTGGTTTAGTTTGGAAAGTCAGAAATAATTAACATAGATGATTAGAAACCATTTAGAATCGAATTAAGAATTTGACCCATTAAAACCATAGTTCCTTGGGCAGACAGGTGGCATGAAGGTTCAGGTGGCTGGATTTCATGTGGCCAACTTTGTGGTTCAGACCCAGTGCCTTGGAAATCACACTGTGCATGTGTGCGTGCATGCCCAAAATTCTGAGAGGAGAATAGTGAAGAAGGGATTGCCTCGTGGCCATCCACCACTGGGGGGGGTCTCTGTCTTTCTCCATCTCTGTCTGGCAGCACGCGTGTCCTTTAGCAAAAACTTGAAACAAAACAAAACCCCAAACAATTGGGGTTCCCAAAGTTTGCCTCTGACTAGCTAATTCACTAGGGCATTGCAGAGTATTTGAAATTTTAAGAGAAACAATGCCATCTGTTGGGCACCGTGCAAACTGCTACTATCAAGAAGTGTGGAACTACTACTTAATTAAACAGAATGGTTAGGTTGGTGCTTCGTTTTTTTTGTTTGTTTGTTTGTTTTTTTTGACTTTTGGATGTGGCGAAACAATTACAGAGACACTAAGGGTGCTGAGAGCCTTTGCAGTGAAGATTTTGTTTGAACACTGAGCAGTGATGCTACTTTTATTCCAAAACAAAGAAACTAACCCTTAGTTAACTGATATTGGAAGGGGGAAGAGCAGTAGCTCTTTGTTTGCAGTGCAGAGGTGTAGATTTTGTATTTAAAATAGGCATGTAATTTAGGCAGTATTTTCAAATGAAAAACCAACTCCAAAGTCATGATGGAATAGATTTCAGAATTTCCTAGACTGGAAGTACAAGGTATGGCTAATAGTAGGACTGGGATTAGAGAGCAAAAAGTGAGGTTCTCATCTTAGTGCAAAATTAAAAGGAGTACAAAAATTTGGCTCAGTAATCATGACAAACAGTATTTTAATGCCTTTTTTTTTTTTTCTGGAGGCTTTTTGTTTGTTTGTTTGTTTTTTGCTATAGGGTGCGTGCGGTGCGCTCACCAGAAACAGAGAGAGAGACAGAAAGTGAGAAATCATCCCCCAGGGGGGACGGCCACGCCGTAATCCCTTCTCCATTCTCCTCTCAGGATCTTGGGCACACACGCACACGTGCCCGGCGTGAGTTTTAAGCCACCGGGTCCAGGACTTGAACCGTGGTTGACTACATGGAAGTCCAGCAACATAGCCATTACGCTAACTGCTGGTCCCATTATTTTAATGCTTTTTAAAAAAAGATTTAAGTATTTGCTGTAGGGCACATGCACTGGAGGAGGGGGCCACCTGCAGTGGTGTGGATGGCCATACCACAGTCCCTTCTCTCCCAGTCTTCTCCTGGGATTTTGGTGACACACACACACACACACACACACACACACACACCTGGCATGATTTTCAAGCAGCCAAGTTCAGGATTTGAACCACGGAGTTGAGCATGTGTGATCCAGCCACCTTAATCTCCATGCCATCTGCCAGTCCAATGCATCATTTTTTAAAAGGTGATTATTAATGCAAAATAATTATAATGAGCAAGATACTGATTTTATTTTTTAAGAATTATTTTATTTATTGTTATTATTTTTTAATTTTTGCAGAGAAGGACAGAGAGAGAGGGACAGAGAGTGAGTGAAGGTAATAAAGCAAGCCATTAGGTCCAAGACAGGAACCATGGTCGGCTATGTGGGAGTCCAGCTCCCACACCATCATGCTGCATGCCATCCCCTGATTTTAAATAGTAGATCCAACCCTGCACTTGTGTGACACCTCACTCCTATAATCCTGGCCTTGTGTATCATACAGTAAACTTATATTATCTATATTATTATTGTTTTAAAAGTTATTTTATTTTATTTATTATTATTATTTTTTTTAATTCACCAGAGAGGGAAAATGAGAGGGCAAGCCTCCAGGTCTGAGACTCAAACCACAGTTAGCGGGAACCAGCAGTTAGCGTAATGGCTATGTCGCTGGACTCCCAAGTAGTCGACCGCGGTTCGCGTCTCGGACCCGGTGGCTTAAATCTCACGCTGGGCGCGTGTGCGTGCGTGCCCAAGATCCCGAGAGGAGAATGGAGGAGAAGGGATTGCGGCGTGACCATCCCCCCTGGGGGGTGATTTCTCGCTTTCTGTCTCTATGTCTCTGTCTGTCTGGCGAGCGCACGCGCCCTATAGCGAAAACCTCTCCAAAAAAAAACCACAGTTAGCCATCTGGGAGTCTAATGCCTTAACCACCATGCCACCTGCTGGCCCCTATCATCTCAGTATTAAAGAATTTGCTGTGGGGGAGACATTCTATTGAGTTGTCAGAAAAGTCATGATGCATTTTGCATAGAAAAACAGGAAAAAATACATCATGACTTTTCCAACAACCCAGTAATATTCAGGAATTAAAGTTGGGAGGCAGCAGGTGATGTGGTGGTTAAGATGCTGGACTTCCTCATGGCCGACTGCAGTTGAGTCCTGAACGTGGTGGCTTGCTTTCTCACTCCTCCTTTCTCTCTCTCTGATCAGATCGAAGAATAATAATAAATAAAACTGAATAAGTAATTCTAAAAAGAATAAAAGTTGTAGTTTTTTTTTTTTTAAGAATTATTTCATTTTATTCATTTTTAATTTGACCAAAGAACACACTGAGAGAAAAAGAAAGTGAGAAAGCAAGTCACCACGTCAAGGACTAGAACCATGGTCAGCCATGTGGAAATGTCCAGCACCTTAACTACCACACCACTTGCTGGTCCCTGTAATTCTTTTTTTTTTAAGAATTATTTTATTTAACTTTATTTTTTAATTTGACCAGAGAGGGACAGAGGGAGAGAGAGGAAGAGAGAGGTAGAGAAAGTAAGCCGCCAGGTCCAAAACTTGAACCACAGTCAGCCATGTGGGAGTCCAGCACCCCCAAACACCACACCACCTGCTGGCCCCTAAAAATTGTAATTTTGAACCTTTGAAACGGGAAGAAGGTTAGGGGAAATGTTAGAAGCAGCACAGGGGTAAGTTACCAAAAGAGTCAAGAATCTGATTCCATATTTTGCATAAAATTATTTCTCCAGTTCTAAGGTCAGTATCTTACTTAAACTTTTTATCTTGTAGCATGGCGGACACCGACCTGTTTATGGAATGTGAGGAGGAGGAGTTGGAGCCATGGCAGAAAATCAGTGATGTCATTGAAGACTCTGTAGTTGAAGATTATAATTCAGTAGATAAAACTACTGCAGGTAAAAAAAACACTGGTTTCAGCTTGTTTAATTAAATTGAATAGCTTTTTAGTTAAGAAATTGTGAGGTAGAGGACTTTAAGAACCTAAGGAAGCCTTATTGTGGCATTCTGCTACCTTCTTTCCACACCCTAACCTGTGAATACCTCCGTTTCTTCGTCCATAAAGTTAGCAAGACCGTGTTTATTAAAAACTTTGAGAGATTGGATTAACTTGTGTTTCTTAAGCACCTAGCCGTCCTTTTATCATATGGTGGATGAGCCCAGTGGTCGTGTGTGTCAGTGTCGTACCCAGTCAGAAACAGGTTCCTCGGCCTTGTGGTTTTTTTGGTTTTGTTTTGTTGTGTTTCACTTGAACTTGGTTTCCTTTGTGAGCTGAGCAGAAATTGCTTTGTGTCTGCCTTCTTGGATAGTTTACACATTTAGGCTTGTTAGCTTCTGTTTCATAAGGCTGTTAATGCAGAGTCAAATTCTTAATTGCCCTGCATTCAGAAAGTGGTGGTAGTTCTTTTCTCCCCTAAATTGTACCAATTGTTCTTTTATTTTTTTCTTCCCTACCTTGAGGCCTAAAGACAACATTGATTTAGGCCAAACAGGACACATTTCAGGGTTTTATGGGTAGTTTAATGTGCATGATTATGAATATCAGTAATGGCAACAATACTTTCAAGTCCTAGAGATTTTCCAGTGCTATATCAGCAAAACTTGATTCTCAGTTCACTGGGTTCATGATCTAATTTAATTAACAAGGAAATATGAGACGATGAAGAAGGGATTGTCTAAATGGTGGAATAAGGGACAGGTAGGAAGGGGAATCAGACGAATAGTTGAATTTTTGAGTGAAACAGGAAACTGGCTATAGAGACCCACAACAAATGGGAAAGGAAGATTAGAGCAGATCCTATAGTATTATCTGTCCCTGTCTCCAAGTGACTGTGCCTCCCCTTCCCCACAGTTTCTGTGAGCCAGCAGCCAGTGTCGGCTCCAGTGCCCATCGCTGCCCATGCTTCTGTTGCTGGGCACCTCTCTACACCCACCACCGTTAGTAGCAGCGGGGCACAGAACAGCGACAGTACAAAGAAGACTCTTGTCACACTAATTGCCAACAACAATGGTAAGTGGGATTATTCGGAAATTTTTCCTGGGCTAGAGGGATAAGAGACTAAAAGAGGTCTTAGGGACAGCTGTATCTGTTTAGTCGGTTACTAATGTGGCTGTACTCGATGGAGAATGAATTTAGTAATTGTTCTCTGATAGAGAAGTGATTCTGTAGCGGTGCTGTTCTTTTCAAGTTAGTGCTGAATTGATGTTGGTGTTTCAAGTCAGAGGGCAGCAGATTCATGCTGCTGGTAATTTCTGGAAGATGAACTATAAACTCTGAATACCTAACTTTAAAAGAGATCTATTGATTTTTTTTTCTTTTTGTTTATCTTTTGTTTTGGTTGGTTGGTTGTGTTTGTTTATTTTATTTAAAAAGTTCCATTAGTTGGTAAGAATTTCCCCAGACCAGTTTTGTTTTGTATTTTCTCTGGCAGATTTATTCGGTTATCGGTATCCTGGATATTGGAATTACAGAATAGGGTTATTGTCTACCTGAAAGATGTGGTAGAAAGTAGTGTTTTCAGTATTTTTATTGGTTAGACAGGGGTACAGTACTGGTTTTTATTTGATTTCTGGTGACTGTTTCTGAACACTGAAGATGAGTTATTGGCAAATTATGTCTCAAGATTCGTAACTAAAATAGGTACTTTGATAGAATCATTGTCACAAGGACTTTTTAAATAAAAAAGAAATAACTTGAGCATTACAAGAATAATGTGTGCATGGTAGAAAAACTACATAGTAAAAAAGATAGTCATCAAAAGGAAGGAAAATAATTTGAATCTTATCCTACCACCTGAAGAAGATTACACATAACTCTTGTTCTGTGCGTGTATGAATGTTGATATTTTTCTGTATTCTATGTAGTGATTTCCTTTTGATAAAAATTAGATCATACAGACTCTATATTACTCTGTGCCTGATTTTCCCCTTAATATGTGGTGACTTGCATATTACCTGTAACACATTCTATGACTGAATGTGTTTTCCATTATTTGATTAACTGTTTTATTTTATTTTAGTTTAGTTTTTTTGCCGTAAGGTGCATGTACTTGCTGAAGAGAGACAGAGAGCTAGAAAGTGAAAAATCACCGTCCCAGGGAGAGATGGCCACACTGCAGTCCCTTCTCCAGTCTTCTCTCAGGATTTTGGGCACACATGCACACATCGACACCCAATGTAATTTTCGAGCCACCAGGTCTGGGACTGAAGCTGCTGTCGGCCACGTGGGAGTTCAGCACCTTAACCACTATGCCACCTGCTGGCCCCTTGCTTAACTATTATTAGCAGAGGTTTGTAAAAGGAAATAGTGCTTTTTTTTTTTTTAACTTACTTTTATTTATTATTATTATTTATTATTTAAAATTTGCTATAGGGCATGTGTGCTCACCAGAGAGAATCAGAGAGACAGTGTGAAAGCAAGCTGCCAGGTCTGGGACTCGAAACACAATCAGCCATGTGGGTGTCCAGGGCCATGTTGGAATCCAGAGCCTTAACTACCATGCCACCTGCTGGTTCCAAACTTTCTTCTTCTCCTTTTTTTGGGGGGGTATAGGCAGCAAACACTCACCAGAGAGAGGGAAAGTAAGAATCATCCCACAAGAAGGATGGCCACTCAGCAATCCCATCTCCAGTCAACCCCTGAGAGTTTGGGTACACACACAAATGTGCCCAGTATGGTTTTCAAGCCACCAGGACTATTACTGTACAGTCGGCCATGTTGTATCTAGCACCTAAACCTCCATGCCACCTGCTAGCTCCAATACTTTTTTTTTTTGGAAAGAGAGATATTTTTGACAGGAGTACACCATTTTGCAATTCTCCTACCCTATCCTCCCATTTATATAGGTTTACAGGCACGTGCTACCACATCTGATCTATTTAGGTTGGTGTGGAACTGAACCCAGGCTTCCCACATTGGCCATAGCCTCATGCAGTGGCACCCTGCTGCTTGTCACTACATGGTTAGGCGAAGTATTATGCAGTTTTTAAAAACTACAGTGACTGGAGATCAGCAGATGGTGTGGTGGCTGAGGCACTGGTCACTCCCACATGGCCGACCACGGTTTGAGTCCCAGACCTGGTGGTATGTTTTCTCTCTCTCTTTCTCTCTCTTTTTCTCTGTCTCTCTCTGGTCAAATTTAAGTAAGTGAATGAATAAATAAAATGAGATAATTCTTTTGAAAAAAAAAAAAAAAACCACTACAGTGTCTAGCTCTATCTCAGTATCTTTCCTCACATCCTTAATTAGTTCTGAAAATACATTTCTAAAAGTCAAATTGTTGGACCAAAGGTGGTCATAGTTTTTAAGGGTTTTGATTGATACTCTCTCTCCCTGATTGGTCATCTAAACGTATTTTATCAATTTCTGTTAGAAGAGTGTGTAATTTCTTATTTTTGGATATAATCATTTATGTTTGCATTCTCTTATTGTTGGACATTTATTATAGTAATATCCTAGTTTTTCATGTTTACAAGCAACACTGTAATGAACATCCCTAGGCAGATGTCTTTGCTCACTGTATAAGCATATTTGCAGTATAAAGTCTTAGAGGTGAGATTACTGGATAGGTGGACATTGTCAGGTTGTCTTAAAATAGGTTGCTTTTAGCGTTCATCAATAGCTCTTTCCCAACTTGTCATTAGATTTTTGTCAATAGTTCTTTATCATTTCCATTGGCTTTCAGTTTTCAGGTACTGAGAGTGAGTTATGAGAGATCCTTAGATTTAAAAAAAAAATGTAGAGACCTTTATGTATATTAAGATGGTAAAACACTTATGTAGAGAATTCTCTCATTTTACAGATGTGGAAACTGAGGCCTAGAGAGTTTAAGTAATTTGTGTAAGGTCATACAGTTGGTAAGTGACTGTATTGTATTTTAATTATATGGATTTTAAAAGCTTGTGGAATTTTTGTTTATTTTACTGTTTTCTTGTGTTTCTCTCTTTTTTTTTTTTTTAAGAGAGATTTTTGGTATAGGACACGTGTGCTCGCCAGAGAGACAGAGAGATGAAAAGTGAGAAATCACCCCCCAGTGAGGATGGCCACACTGCAATCCCCTCTTCTCTTTTCTCCTCAGGATTTTGGGCATGCACACACACACACTCAGCGTGAGTTTCAAGTGACCGGTTCCAGAACTCAAACCACAGTCGGCCATATATTCCAGTGTCTCAACCAGTATGCCATCTGCTGGTTCCTCTTTCTTGTGTTTCTCTTACACTGTCAAAGTTCTGCCAGCAACTAGTTTAGCTGAACTTTTCTTCAATCCTAGGGTTCCCAAGCCCATAGTGAGATGGTTAAGGATACCACGACAAGCTGAAATGACCCTAGTCTTTTTGACTTGAATGGGCTGTTGCTTCCAGAACCCTCCTAGGGCCTGTGTATTAATTTTTACATATATATCTATTTATAAACATATTTACAGACATGTATATGTTCATATATATATAGAGAGAGATTTCATTTATTTACAAAACCTTTAAATTAAAATGTTAATCGGGCCTGCCATGTAGCCTGGTTAGATTAAGGGACCATATCTCTCATAGTCAACTGTACGATTTGAGCCCTGGCTTTGGTAGCTTTACAAACATACCAGATATATGCCTAAATCTCAGCAGGGTGGAGAAATAGAGAAGGGATTAATTATAGCATGACTACACCTCATTGGGTGGTTCTTTCTTTTTTTCTCTTTTTGAGAGATTTTTGCTGTAGGTCATGTGGGCTCACCAGAGAGACAGAAAGCAGGAAATTGCCCTGCCCCCAGGGGATAGCCATGCTGCAATCCTTTCTCCTCTATTCTCCTCTTGGGATCTTGGGCACACATGCACAGACACCTGGCATGAGTTTTAAGCCCACAGGTCCAAGACTCAAACTGCTGGGAGTCCAGCAATGTAACCATTATGTTACCATTATGCCATCTGCTGGCCCCAATCTCTTTCATGGTCTCTTACTATCTCTCTAGCAAGTGTATGTATCCTTTGGCAAATTTTCTAAAAAAGTTAACCCATGTTTATAATTAAAAAAAAAAAGTGGGTATAGATTATTAACCAGTTACATATGTTTTTTTTTGTTTGTTTGTTTTTTTGCTATAGGGTGCGTGTGCTCGCCAGACAGAGAGAAACATAGAGACAGAAAGCGAGAAATCACCCCCCAGCGGGGATGGTCATGCCGCAATCCCTTCTCCTCCATTCTCGTCTCGGGATCTTGGGCATGCATGCACACGTGCCCGGCGTGAGTTTTAAGCCACCGGGTCTGGGACACGAACCGCGGTCGACTACGTGGGAGTCCAGCAACATAGCCATTACGCTAACTGCTGGTTCCCACCAGTTACATGTTTTGTGTACCCTTCAAAAGGTTTTCCATGCATAGATAAGCATAAATTAATGGTTCAGCCAGGTGGTGGGGTTGTTAAGGCAGCTGGATCCTACATGGCTCACTGTGCAATTCAAGTCCTAGACCCAGTGTATGTGCATTTGCTTGCCCAAAATTCCTAGAGGAGAATCGAGGAAAAGGGATTTAAGCGTGGCAACCCTCTGGAGGTCATTTCTCATTTTCTCTCTCTTTCTGTCTCTGTCTCTGGTGAGTGCATGCATCATATAGCAAATTAAAAAAAAAAGAAATGCTGGGCATGCATGTGTGCATACCCAAATCCTGATGGGGTAGAGAAATTAATGAAATGGGATTGTGGTGTCACCACACCCCATTTCAGGTGTTTTGTCTCTCTCTCTTGCAATGAAAAAAAAAAAAAAACTAAGATATATATTGTTTATGGAAAATGCTTAGGAAAACTAGTTTAAAAAAAATAAAAAACAGGAGGCTGGGCCCGTGACCTAGTGGTTAAGGGAGCTAGATTCCACATGGTCACCAGTGGTTCAAATTCTAGTCCCAGCAGCTTGAAAGACATGCCAGGCATGTATGTGTCCATGCCCAAAATCCCAACAGGATGGATTAGTGGAATTACTCCATTGGGTAGTGCTCACTCCTCCCTATCTCTCTTTGTCTTTCTGGTGACT